CAGAGCAGAGCAGAGGGGCAGAATCCCCTCCCTCGACGCTGGCCACGCTTCTCCCGATGCAGCCCAGGGTAGGGTTGGCTTCTGGGCTGCCAGCGCACATTGCCGGCTCATGTCCAGCTTTTCATCCATCAGTGCCCCCAAGTCCCTCTCGGCAGGGCTGCTCTCCATCCTTTCTTCCCCCAGCCTTACCTTAAACCTAAGTTTTACCTTAAACCTTCTGGTTTTCCACATATCAAAAGGAGAAAACTCCCCTAACAGCTAATGCTGCACCTTTCAACCAAAAGGGAGAGTGGGAGAAATGAAAAGGTTAGGTAATAAATTATTAGTTTCGTGTCACTTGCCAGCTATATCACACCTAGCTTTGAATGAGAGGGAACGAGCGATTCCACCCACCGTGCCCAGTTGTGCAGAAGATAATCAAATATTTCCAGGTACCTGCTAGAAGATGTTTGCAACTGGACGGTACATAGCTAAACAGATGACTTTAATAGAAAAAAAGTGAAGCAAGAATTTCTTTTTCCTGATTTTCTTCCTCAACCATTCCGTTTTAAAAAAATAAAAACCCAATTTCATTCTGTGGAAAAGAGAAAGAAAACCTTCTACAGAGGGGCAGACACAGAATGTGATGAAATACTGCTTTCCTAAGCCGCATGACATCACGTAAAGCAGACTGAAACCACAAGAGATGCCTTTAATTTTTTTAACAGTGATAGAAGTTGCCAGCAGGAACAGTTAGATATGCAAGTTTGAAATATTTTCCTAGAGGAGCGTTACTAACATAACAAAAACAGTTATCCCACAGAAAAAAATGTATTCATATCTTCAAAGTTCATTTTAATTATTTGAAGAAAAATGGCTATTGACTAAAAATGTGTTGATGCCTTTCAGTAACGCAAATTGTTCTGGATTTCCTGACGAACAGAGTTGTTGTCTTATTTTACTATAAAGTTACTGCCCTACACTTATTGCATTGAAGCACCGAGCCTCAAAATTAAGCCTGTTGGGTTTTCAATAAATGAGGTGCCTATTAGGAAATGGAAGCAGCCAACATGTAACTGAAAATACAGCATTGTCCCGTTAGGTTATGCTCTGCAGAAGATAGATACGTGATGGGGAAAGGTCCACTGATGCCTGTTACCAACCATGACAGAGCTACAGAGATTTACAACGCAGCATCAATCTTGTCAACCAGATTCCTAATACAGACTGCTGGACACTGGGGAAAAAACCCAATGTTACATGAACTCTTTTGTAATGCTGGACTCTCAACGTACACCTAAACGCAAGGGTATTCCACTAGAAACTTACTGCTGGGACGAGCCTTGATGCCATGGTAGATGAAAAGTCTTCACCTGTAAGGAAAAAAATTCTCAGTTAGATTGAGATTTTGTTTGAATTCCGCAGGAGGAGTGTATGGCAATAGTTCATTTCCCTTCTAACCAGCTCTACACCAGTTTTTTTTAGATGGGCTCTACGTTTCAGTATATATGATTTCAAAAGGGAGTTTTATTTATTTATTTGTTTTACAAGCAACCAGGAATTTTGATGTTCATGAGGTCATCTGCTGCTTGTTACAAGCCAAATAAAAAAAAAAATGAAATCAACAGATGGCACATTGAAGACTTCTTCCATAACAAGCACTACACGGCTCTGACCTTTTGAATAAGAACGCCTTAAAAGATAGAGCATTCATTGAAGAAATATTTGTACGGGCAGTAACGCACTTCTGAGTTACTTAAGAAAATAAACAGCCTTTTGTGATTTAGGAAATAACACATTTTAAGGCATGAAAGCAAGTGACTTTTTCAGTTATATTCTGGGTTTAAAAATACAGATGGCAAAACACTACAGAAGTACCTCAGAAATGTTAACTTCAGCTATTACAAGTCTAGTCTTAATCATTCTTTATACACCGTTAGCCAAAAATACAACGGGTTCCTCTTTGCCCTCCCCTTTGAAGTAAAGGACAATTGCTATTTCCTTGGCATTTACTTAGTTCCCCCCCCCCTCTATTTTCTTTTCGGTGCTATTTAGCTAAGATCACTGTATCTTTGCAAACATGTGCTACAAACATTACATTTTGGAAGATCAGAGAGGCTGACAAAGCTCAGCCTCCCAGTCCTGACTCACAGCCAACCTCAATGGGAACTCTTCCACTTAAGTCGGGGAACTCGCTACTCCACGGGAGAGGAGACCTGTATCCGCTTAAGAAATGATAAATCTCTTCGAAGAAATTATACGAACATCTGAGGCTTTCCAAGTCCTCTCAAACACATCAAGCCTCAAAGTCCAAGACAGTGACAGAACTTACAGCCACTTCCAAGAAAACGGTGATATTTAATCTTAATATTACATCTTAATTATTTTAAGAGTTTAAAATTAAGAGCCTGAATAATGCACACCTCAAACACACTAACAATCATAGCCTTGCAAGGTAGGCATTGCAAAGATCACCAATTCCATTTTAAATGTGAGGCAGGCAGATGAGCAATCTACTAATATTTGATATGAAAGTGATAGAGCTAAAAATAAAATGAGATCATATAAATAAAATGATATGAAAACGATAGAGCTAAAAATAACACAGCCATTTATTTCTATCATCCCTTCAGAGTCTTTAGCTTTCAAAGTGCACAGCAACCCTTAGCTTTTTCAGGTTTTTCTAAAGGGTAAAGCTGGACTATTTGCCTTGAAATGCAGATTTATCCAGAAGCTCTCTTCAAACCTGGGCCAAAGTCCAGAAGCACAGTGTGTAAGTGCTCTGAATTACACCAACGTTACAGAGAGCTGCTACAACCGCCTGAGCCCCTAAATTCCCTTCTCCTTTCCCCTGCTACCACCCCAAACCCCAGACAAGCTAGGAAGGGACAGAGCAGCCCAGCAGATACTGCAGTACCCGGGAAGGGCGCGCTGCTGCTTTGCTGGACTGCATGACCGCTCCTTTTCCCAATTAGCTGATTAGCTTCTCATCCAGCTGAGAAGCCACCTCGTCTCTTCGAATCCCAGCCAGTAACTACGCAGGAACGCAATTTAGCTAGAAGATATGGCGTAATGTGGAGTTATTCATCTGCAGATAAAACTCTCAATGCCCCATTCCTCCTAAAAATAAAGCAAAATGGGACATTTGGAGTGAACCAGCCCAAATGCTCTTATCGGCAGTAAAAAAAACTCCCAGATTTTGCCAAGAGCAGAAAACTGCTGCCTGGGAAGCTGCTGTACCATGTGCAATGGGGCACCGGCACGGGATGCTAACACCCCTTCAGCTGGAAAGCAGGCGGTCCCTCCGCCAAGCCTCAGGAGGACAACATTTGGGAATATTAATTCCCCAGGAACATGCATCTGTCCTTGGCCTTTGCTACGCTTCCCCAGGGGGCCAAGGAGTAGAGCAGCTGCCAAGGCAGCAGGGGATGGCGTGCCGAGGCGGTGGCCCATGGCGTGCCAAGGCACCAGGGGACGGCGCGCCGAGGTGGTGGGGGACACTGTGCCGAGGTGGTGGCCCATGGTGTGCCGAAGTGGTGGCCCATGGCGTGCCGAGGCGGCAGGGGACGGCGTGCCCCGCACTACCGGGAAGGCAAGCCAACAACATGCCTCCACCCTGCCGGCTCTGCCAGGCAAAGCAAGAACCAGCCACCATCAAAATGCCACACGTAGAGTGGAAGGCTCATCTACAGCCTCCATGAGAAAAGGGAAACCCAAAGCCTTCCTCTGACATACCCGCACCTTTTGCGGTCTGAACAGGATTAAAGTCTGGACTCATTTGTATGAACGACTGGCACCTATGCACATTCCCTTCCCTTGTGCCAAATGTTAAATAATGATCATCTCACAGTTGCTTATGCCCCTCTTCCCACCTCCAACCAGCTGATCTCATGGCGTACGCTGCTTTCAATTCTGGTGAGATCCACTTGCTCCCCACCTTCCCATTGGGAAATAAAGTATTTCCAAGATAGCAGCTGCTGATGGCTGGATGAAGGGCCACTCTGGCACATTGGGTAAGCCAGACAACAAGAATTCGTCCCAACTGAAGGAGCTCGGAGCCCAGCAGACATCTCTGGGACAAAACCGGCCAGGAAACATCCCTTTTCATAACAAACTTTTGGGTTTTATTTACTTGCAACACAGTTTCTCTCCCTGTTTGTGAAATAAACCATGCCAAATGCCCAAATCACGTTAAATTTCAAGTTGTTGTTTTAAATAGTGTCTGCAGATAAAACTCTCACCACCCTACTCCTCCTAAAAATTCAGTAAAACAGATAGGGGAAAACTGTACAAGACCACTGCTAAACATCAGAGGGCTGGGAAAGTCCAAAACATCGCTCCAAAATGCATCGCAGTCTTGCAAAGATTGTCTTGTTGGAAGAGGCCAACATAAGCACTACTAACTCCTTCTCACATTGGAGTTGAAGGGTTCCCCTAAGGTTGATTTTGAAGGTAAGAACCCAATACCTCTTCTGAATGGCACAGGAATTGCCACGGATCAAAATCAATCACAATGCCTCATTCTGGATCCCGTTCCAGAAACGGACACCAGAATCACTGGACCCGTCTTAAAGGCAGAAACTTTATTGTCATCAATCCCTTCGCCAAGACGGAAAATTTCCTCCTGCATTTGCAGAGAGCAGGATAAACCAAAGGGATCAATTAACAAGCAAAGTAAAGGAAAAAAGAAAAAAAAAAAGAAAAAAAAAGAGTAATTTGGCCCCATCCTCACTGGCTCAGAGCTGCTTGGCTAGGACCAATGAAGCCCATCTCCTGTTGAGCTCCTGCCTCATACCTGAGCTGCAGGGCCACAGCTCCTGCCTCAGCTCCCCTTGGCCTTTCAATCACGATGCTCCCAAGTTCCCCAAAACTTCCGATGCCACACGAGAGCTGAGGCTGAAGCCATCCCAACATCAGCAGGACACTCCTGAGACAGCTGGAAGACACACGAATGTCTTCAGGTTCTGAAGCTCAGCAGGAGATGAGACACTGTGGGAAGTTAATATATCCTAGACCCGCCCTGCGAGCATCCCAAGCCTGTGAATATGTCAACAGAGCGGAAATTTAAAGAAAGTCAGAGGTTACATCAAAAATCAGATCCTTTTAACGCCGTGAAAAATTTCAGCCCTACTTTGTTGATAGTCTAGAACAGAAGTCCTTGGGTTCTAAGCTACTTTCCTGTTTACTTTCATGGAACTGCAGCTGGAAAAGTAGATGTGATGGCATCACCATGGTAAGAACTCTCACGTTCATAAAAAGTATTTTTCTCAGTTCATCAACTTTTAAACACTAAAGGAAGGTTCTCTTTGAAAGACAAGTCCTCGGGATCGGCAGAATGTAATACTCTCTGGTTTCAGTACTAAAATTTAAAACCAGCTATTATATCAAGTCAGTATATGAATAAAATTCCATATGAAAACATTTAAAGTACATTAGATTTTTGGTCAAGATGAAAGACTGAAAAAAACTCAAGCAATCTATTCTAATTGGGTTCCCATGGTAACTGTACAATTGGGTTTTTCAGTATAACATCCCAAAGGCCCAATGCACACTTGTAAAATATACTTCAAACAGCCTGAATTGTTTTTACATTACAGCACTCCCAGGAAGATCAATTACTATACATCCCCACCCTAACTATTAGTGGCAGGAGATGTTAACACTATTGGCCATATTAACATAAGTCATGTAAAAACCACCACATATCACCATCATTATATAAAACTAATTACACACTTCAGATTCATCAAACATGTTCGGGGTAATAAACCAATACCGGTCTTGTCGCAAGATCATGTTTACTGAATGTTAGAAATCAACCCCAAATATATGCCAAACCATTTTGCTTCTCATATTGATTTCAAGGATAAACAGAATCAATCATTAATAATTACATTATAAGATGACCCATAGGGTTAATCATATTCTTAGAAACTCTCACTATGGAATCAAATATAGCGGCACAGAAAGACAGCCGGGAAGCATTCAAATCCAGGCCGTATGCAATACCAGTAATATAAACCGAGGTGTGTTCGTTAACGTGCAACTCATGTAATTGGTGAAAAGAAAATAGCACTGTTGTTCTATTAAAAAAAAAGCATTTATTAAAAAAGTTTCCCTCGGATCAAGCATGTTGCCTAGCTGGGCCTTAATTTCACTTTCTGAAAGCCCAACGCTGGCTGTAGACCCAGCTTGTCCTTCCAGACAAGCCTTCCATCCAACTGCCTACACCTCAGAGCTAAAAGGAGATAATGACCCACATCTGCGCTAAGTAGGATTCAAAACTGATGAATTAACTTGCATTTCCAGGGGAAAAAAAGGAAAAAAACCCAACTGTCATCAGTTTGAATAAAGTCAACCTCATTTCT